AAATTTGAAAGCTTTTTGATTATTCAGGGACAAACAGTATTGTTACTATAATTTGGTATGGCATATGCTACCCCTTACAAATAGTGATACAATTCGAAAATTTAGAAAATTTTTGTTTTGAAAAACGTTGCACCAAAGTCATTCTGTGAGAAGAATAGTTTTCTTTGTTTTATGTGGGCCTCGTGGTCCTCATGATAGTCGGTATGTCAGAGAGTTCTTCCTTACCGATTAAAGATTGCCTAATTTAAGGCGATCAATAAATTTTGCATACATTTGCATGAAAAACATGTGATTCACACTTTCAATACAAAAAAAATCAAATTCATGAGAATATTGAGAATGAATTATATTTAAAATTGTTAGGTGGTGCATGGAAGTTTTATGGTGGGTTATAGTATCGTTAAATTTCATAAATTTTTGCTTCAGATTAGTCATGAATGACTCATAAACCATGAAAGTAACAATTTAGTAAATAAGTGGATTTATTGATGCAACAAACTACGTCTTGCATGTAAGGCACGAAAAATTTACAGATTACCTGAGCACAAAGTGACATTTAAATTATGGAATTTTATTTTGAGACCATTCTTACAGTTTAATACCACATCCAAACTAGTTTTATATAAATATTTTGAGTTTTTCGGAAATTTAAAGAAGATTTTTGTTATTTGCTGTTTTAAGACGACACTATACACAGAAATGATAATCACAAAAAAAGTTTTTCAATAAGATCTACAAATTTTTGTATCAAACATTTTGTGTGCAAATGAAGTGCAAAAAAAATTTTTTCAGCTATTTTGAAACAATTGTTTGTTTAAATTTTTAGGCCTTCAATTTGGATGAAAATTGCTGATACAAAAAAAGTGTGTTTTCATAAGATTTACAACTTTTTTTAACACACATGTCCATGAAGGCAACATAAAAAACTTTTATATAAAACGAATTTTTTGCTTTTCGAAAGCAATTTTTACCGTTTAGAGTATGAAAATGGTACTATGGAGCAGAACTTTCGTAACAAAAAAAGTTAATTTTAAATGAACTCTGCAGTTTTTGTATTCAACACTGTTATAGAATTTGAATTTTTTCCATTCGTTGAAAAAAAAAGTTTTTTTTATCCAGTATTCGGTTAAGAAGTTTTGTTATATTGTCGTCTAAAACTTTATCCTTGAACATAAAAGTGTACAATGCACGTGATAAAAGTTATCGCCCAAAAAAACTGTTTTTTTCTTTTTGGAGCATTGCAGTAAAAATGCTAGCAAAATTTTTCTATTTTATGAAAACTGTCTAAATGCAAACTGTAAGTATTGATGTTAAACCTGAAGATACCTTCAAAATTTGAGCCTATTGGGATGATAATTACTTGAGTTAGTTAAAAAACTTGTAACCAACTCAGATCATACACTAGGTTCAAAATTTGTCTTCTATCGAAAATACAGGATTTATGTTACATTTTTTTAATACTTATCTTTTAATATCCAACTGAAGGATCTACCACAGCTCTACGTTAGTAAAAATTGAAGTCATGAAATTTCTCCCCCCAATAGTTTTTAGTAAAGCTAACCATTTGCAATTAAAAAAAAAAAAATCAACTCATGCAGTAATAATAAGTTAGGCTCATTCGCACACTTTTCAGAACATATTTATTCGTGAGTGAGTTGATTGGGCTGGATCCCGGCAAAGAGCATCCTCTACCTTGGCGACCCCCCACGTGTCAGGCATCCAAGGCTTTTACGTGGAAGTACATACCACCAGAGTTGATAAAAGCTACCACTGGCTACAACTTGCCCGACCTGAGTCTTACCTCATTCCTCACTGGACTCGTTCAAGATGCCGAGGTCCCCGAAATCGGTCAACGTATCTTAACGGCCTTGAACTCTGTACGTAAAATACTCTTCAAAGACCTTTCCAAACATATAATACTTTTAAAATGCATTTTTGTTTTTTTGTGGCAATGATTTGGAAAAATAAGTATTTTGGTTAGACTAAAGGTTTATCGTCCGGAAAGTTTGAAGGCGTACATAACTTTTAGTTATTATTTTAATTACGTAATCTCAATAGTAAATAACATCGTTTCAATACAAATGTTTTTCTAATTCAGTAATTTGCTCACCTAACTTTAATAAATATTTATTGAAACAAGTTTTTGTAGTTTGAAAAATAAAAACAAATTACTCGATTCACTAAGGTCCTTTAGTGAATATAAAATTTATTCAAACAAGGAAACTTTTTAAAAACTGTATAAGTATTCTCCTAAAACGTAATAAACGAGATTTTTAATGATTATTTTGTGTCAACAAAGATTTCTGATAAATATAATACATATCAGCGGTGTCGAATTAAATAGCTCAATGTAATGGGAATCGTTTAAATATGAATTAATTGATGATAAGTTAGAAATTTTTGGGGGACTGGGACAAATTTATTTTTGATACCAACTGTAATTTTCTCTGGATCAAATCTCGTTTTTAAAATGTACATAAAATATTATTGTCAAATTAAATTTATTAAAATGCATGCTACATTCCCGCTCTTTTTCTCGATGTGCATAATTTTATCAAACGATTGATTGAAAAATAAATTTCATTTGACTTCAGAAAGTAGCAGCGCCTTGGGTGTTATCGATGCTGGCTTCGTTGTACTGGCGGGTTGTTGGGAAGCCTCGTAACGCACTAGATTGTCTTCAACTAGCGCTCGATACCGTGCCCAACAAATTCAAGGATGTACCGCTGATTAGCATTGCCTCAATCAGTCACAAATTTAGTGTGATTGACAATGCACTGTTTGTCACCGAAGAAGCCTTTAGGATTAATCCTGTTGAAGTAAGTTACATTCAATATAATTCGATTACTTTATTTTTAATAACATTGATAATAACTTACAATGGTTCCATGTGCACGATAAGAAAATTTCATTGGTCTTACAAAAATACAACCATTTAATAATCTTAGTTGACAAAAATAATTCTTAGTGTGGTATTAAAGTAGACATTTTTAAAATAATACAAAGTAATGCAATTAAGTAACATATTTAGTATCAATTCAAAGTAATCGAAATAGGTTTTTTTTCAATCATTAATTTTCTGTGAGTTATAATTAAACATCATATTGTGTTAAAAAATATACGATAATCACATTTTTTAATCCAACTGATTTTTCTATTTTTAACAACTGTTTATAGCTGATACATTATTAAAAAAAATCATTTTAGAGTAAAGTATTAAAGAGTAAAGTAGTAAATTATTAAAAAAATAATCTCTTAAAAAAAATTAAGATCAACTTATGATTTAACGAATACATTTTCTAACAGTTTCTAATATTTAGAAATACAAATAGGTTAATTTAGTTTTTAAGTATATATTTGTATGATTATGAAACTTTTTTTGTTCGTGACGATCAATAAATTTTGCATACATTTGCATGAAAAACATGTGATTCACACTTTCAATACAAAAAAAATCAAATTCATGAGAATATTGAGAATGAATTATATTTAAAATTGTTAGGTGGTGCATGGAAGTTTTATGGTGGGTTATAGTATCGTTAAATTTCATAAATTTTTGCTTCAGATTAGTCATGAATGACTCATAAACCATGAAAGTAACAATTTAGTAAATAAGTGGATTTATTGATGCAACAAACTACGTCTTGCATGTAAGGCACGAAAAATTTACAGATTACCTGAGCACAAAGTGACATTTAAATTATGGAATTTTATTTTGAGACCATTCTTACAGTTTAATACCACATCCAAACTAGTTTTATATAAATATTTTGAGTTTTTCGGAAATTTAAAGAAGATTTTTGTTATTTGCTGTTTTAAGACGACACTATACACAGAAATGATAATCACAAAAAAAGTTTTTCAATAAGATCTACAAATTTTTGTATCAAACATTTTGTGTGCAAATGAAGTGCAAAAAAAATTTTTTCAGCTATTTTGAAACAATTGTTTGTTTAAATTTTTAGGCCTTCAATTTGGATGAAAATTGCTGATACAAAAAAAGTGTGTTTTCATAAGATTTACAACTTTTTTTAACACACATGTCCATGAAGGCAACATAAAAAACTTTTATATAAAACGAATTTTTTGCTTTTCGAAAGCAATTTTTACCGTTTAGAGTATGAAAATGGTACTATGGAGCAGAACTTTCGTAACAAAAAAAGTTAATTTTAAATGAACTCTGCAGTTTTTGTATTCAACACTGTTATAGAATTTGAATTTTTTCCATTCGTTGAAAAAAAAAGTTTTTTTTATCCAGTATTCGGTTAAGAAGTTTTGTTATATTGTCGTCTAAAACTTTATCCTTGAACATAAAAGTGTACAATGCACGTGATAAAAGTTATCGCCCAAAAAAACTGTTTTTTTCTTTTTGGAGCATTGCAGTAAAAATGCTAGCAAAATTTTTCTATTTTATGAAAACTGTCTAAATGCAAACTGTAAGTATTGATGTTAAACCTGAAGATACCTTCAAAATTTGAGCCTATTGGGATGATAATTACTTGAGTTAGTTAAAAAACTTGTAACCAACTCAGATCATACACTAGGTTCAAAATTTGTCTTCTATCGAAAATACAGGATTTATGTTACATTTTTTTAATACTTATCTTTTAATATCCAACTGAAGGATCTACCACAGCTCTACGTTAGTAAAAATTGAAGTCATGAAATTTCTCCCCCCAATAGTTTTTAGTAAAGCTAACCATTTGCAATTAAAAAAAAAAAAATCAACTCATGCAGTAATAATAAGTTAGGCTCATTCGCACACTTTTCAGAACATATTTATTCGTGAGTGAGTTGATTGGGCTGGATCCCGGCAAAGAGCATCCTCTACCTTGGCGACCCCCCACGTGTCAGGCATCCAAGGCTTTTACGTGGAAGTACATACCACCAGAGTTGATAAAAGCTACCACTGGCTACAACTTGCCCGACCTGAGTCTTACCTCATTCCTCACTGGACTCGTTCAAGATGCCGAGGTCCCCGAAATCGGTCAACGTATCTTAACGGCCTTGAACTCTGTACGTAAAATACTCTTCAAAGACCTTTCCAAACATATAATACTTTTAAAATGCATTTTTGTTTTTTTGTGGCAATGATTTGGAAAAATAAGTATTTTGGTTAGACTAAAGGTTTATCGTCCGGAAAGTTTGAAGGCGTACATAACTTTTAGTTATTATTTTAATTACGTAATCTCAATAGTAAATAACATCGTTTCAATACAAATGTTTTTCTAATTCAGTAATTTGCTCACCTAACTTTAATAAATATTTATTGAAACAAGTTTTTGTAGTTTGAAAAATAAAAACAAATTACTCGATTCACTAAGGTCCTTTAGTGAATATAAAATTTATTCAAACAAGGAAACTTTTTAAAAACTGTATAAGTATTCTCCTAAAACGTAATAAACGAGATTTTTAATGATTATTTTGTGTCAACAAAGATTTCTGATAAATATAATACATATCAGCGGTGTCGAATTAAATAGCTCAATGTAATGGGAATCGTTTAAATATGAATTAATTGATGATAAGTTAGAAATTTTTGGGGGACTGGGACAAATTTATTTTTGATACCAACTGTAATTTTCTCTGGATCAAATCTCGTTTTTAAAATGTACATAAAATATTATTGTCAAATTAAATTTATTAAAATGCATGCTACATTCCCGCTCTTTTTCTCGATGTGCATAATTTTATCAAACGATTGATTGAAAAATAAATTTCATTTGACTTCAGAAAGTAGCAGCGCCTTGGGTGTTATCGATGCTGGCTTCGTTGTACTGGCGGGTTGTTGGGAAGCCTCGTAACGCACTAGATTGTCTTCAACTAGCGCTCGATACCGTGCCCAACAAATTCAAGGATGTACCGCTGATTAGCATTGCCTCAATCAGTCACAAATTTAGTGTGATTGACAATGCACTGTTTGTCACCGAAGAAGCCTTTAGGATTAATCCTGTTGAAGTAAGTTACATTCAATATAATTCGATTACTTTATTTTTAATAACATTGATAATAACTTACAATGGTTCCATGTGCACGATAAGAAAATTTCATTGGTCTTACAAAAATACAACCATTTAATAATCTTAGTTGACAAAAATAATTCTTAGTGTGGTATTAAAGTAGACATTTTTAAAATAATACAAAGTAATGCAATTAAGTAACATATTTAGTATCAATTCAAAGTAATCGAAATAGGTTTTTTTTCAATCATTAATTTTCTGTGAGTTATAATTAAACATCATATTGTGTTAAAAAATATACGATAATCACATTTTTTAATCCAACTGATTTTTCTATTTTTAACAACTGTTTATAGCTGATACATTATTAAAAAAAATCATTTTAGAGTAAAGTATTAAAGAGTAAAGTATTAAAATTATTAAAAAAATAATCT